CAGCCGCGTTTCCTCTGCGCCTGATCCGGCTGGCGGGGCTGGCGGAGCCTGCGCTGAGTGAGGCAGCTGCGTGCGCTAGGCCGGAGCAGCCCCCATCCGGCGGGCAGGCCCCGGGCGCTGCGCGTCTGCGGCTCCCGGCTTAGCCCCGGGTCCCGGCTCCTTACCGCCGCCCCCTCCCTCCGGGACCCCAGCTTGGCTGCAGTTTTGCAGCGAGTGGGCTCGCTTCGAGGCCTGACGGGGTGGCGGGGGGTGCACGGGTTAGCGGGCGGAGGGGAGCGTTCTCCTGCCCTGCAGCTGGTGGCTTGCACCCACTACCTTCCCCGCCCTGCGGTTGCACCCAGACCTCCAGTCCTCTGGAGTATTGTGGCACCAGGAGATAACACGCATGTGATGTACACTCGCTACCGGCAGCACCACACTCAGCCCAGTGGGCGATGCAGACCTTTCTCCACCCCCACTTCGTCCTCCCCTCCAATCAGGCTCAACTGAAGAGTCTCAGATCGGAGACACCAAAGAGAGTGACACCCCTGTTACATCTCTAGGAAACATGATCATGGTCGAGGGATGTCTCCGGTAGAAATGATAGATGTCCCTGCCTCGCCCCGAAGTCAGTCTTCAGGATTTAAGATCCCATATGCTGTTCTTTGCAGCTGGCCAGTCTTTGAGTACATCTAGCTCGTCCCTCCCCCCCAACAACAACATCACGAACACGCGCGAGCACACACATATGCACACGCACACTCGTGCACTTCCTGATTACAGAACGGCCCCTGTCATCGCGGATCCATTGTCAGAAATGGCTTGTGCCAATCAAAGGAATGTGCCTTGGGAGGAAGATGTTTTCCACAACCAAGCTACAGGATGTACCTCTGTCAACCAGTCTTTGGTTGCCCCTGGGTCTTACCCATGTTTAAGCATCGTCATAGTGTTTCCCTTATATGCCTCTCCGGCGCATTCTCAGTATCACCTGAGTGATGCTCCCCCGCCCACCCCTACCCCCCAGTTAATTAGATACTTATTGCACACAGCAATTTCATCGATTTGTTGTTGTTGTTGTTGTTCTTGTTGCAACGTTTAACATAACAAGGCATAGCCTGTGTACGTAGTGTAATCTTTTGGGATGAAGGTCTGTATACTTTTTTCCCGGAGGATGGTTGGGTCCGTATTGTTCTGAGAAAGGCAAAGAGCACATGCTTTGTTGACAGCGTGTGTGTTTGCTCAGGAAAGGAAAGCTGCCGTTGCTCGCTTGTGCGCTGTGTGCTGAAGGCAGTTAGCTATGTTCCCCAGTGGGGCTGGTCTGGGGTGGATATGTTGCCTTGTGTCAACGGCTTGCTTATTTATATCACCACTGTGCACATGTGTTCACATAGATACTGTCCTGCGTATAAAAGATTCACCGCTGAATTTTTTGTGATTCTCAACTCTTGACTGGGGCTGTGGAAGTCTTCAGGGCCCTCTTTGCAGTGAAATACATGTAGAGTTTTGTATGCAACTCAACAGTCATCTTGAAGCTGGTCCTGGAACCTCACGTTAAGATCTGTGCTATGCAAAAGTGAAAGCAGTTTTGAGTTTGTGTTTTGCTTCTCTTAACCATTAGGTTTACTTTGGCTCTGGACTAAAGAGCAAGTATGTATCATTGTATGGTTGTTTTTGTTTTGTTTGTATGCATATTTTATCTGCATCTACGTGCGCGTGTGTGTGTGTGTGTGTGTGTGTGTGTGTGTGTGTGTGTGTGTGTATGTACCACATGTGTGCCCGGTGCCCACAGAGGTCAGAAGAGGGTGAGAGAGGGTGGTGGAAACCCTGGAACTGGAGTTAAGGATGGTTCTGAGTCACCATGTAGGTGCTGGGAATAGAACCTGGGTCCTTTGTAAGAGCAACAAGTGCTCTGAACTATTGAGCCATTTCTCCGGATGGCTTGTCATTGTGTTTTGTTCTTCGGGTAAGTAAGGTCAGTTAGGAATTACAAGATAGTTTTCCTGTGAAAAGGGAGGTGGGTGAGAATCAGAAGAAGTTAAAACTAGAGACAAAATAATCTAGATTTGACCAATTGATCGTTTATCTTCCTGGCATATTCTAAAGGTAGCGAATGTCAACGGTGAAGTGTATAATGTGTTTGGCAGTGCCTGTATGGACTATACATGGCTTAAAGACTGAGGCCGATCTCTGTTTTTCCATGGTAGAACACCTGTTCAGGGCTGAGAATTTTTTCTAGCTTCGCTAAATTTGATTTCATGGTGCCATCAAAACCATCCACTTCAATGGATTTCGGTTATAATTGGAAAATTTACTCTCCCTATTCAGAATCTAGAGCTGAGGATGAACTTTGCACTATTCTGTTAATAAGCAGTTGATAAATGTCAGTTTTTGTGTGTGTTTAAATTACTCAACTTTTGTCTTTTGATCATATTTCAACCAAGACACATGTGTTCCAGCTTATGATAGTACTGTGATAGGTAGTGATAGTAACCACAGTCCCAGTTTCTAACAGCATACAGTTTCCACTTTAAAAAAAATAATTAGGGTTCTGAGAGCTTAAGGAATTCCTGGTATTAACTAGCATTTTGAAAAGCAGGAGAGGCTTGGAATCTTGCACAGAACCTGTTCCACACACCTGGTGAATAGCATTTATTCTAATAATTATTCAGTGTACTCTGTGATGTTTAAAAGTATGCTGAGGTTGCATATGTTGCATTTTTATTACCTACTATGCATGACTGAAGTGACTTATATTACAGGTTATATTTTTTTGTCAGTGGCACGCCTGTAGTTTTTATCATCTGAATTACTTGCCTGTCCTAAACCCAAAGGACTTCAAAGTTTCAAATGTGTTACTTTTCTTGGTCAGTGATTGTAATGTTAGGGGAGGACCCTGGAGTCTCAGGGAACAATGTGCTTGCTTGGTTTAGTTTTGCAGCACCCATTCTAACCAGTCACTTCCCTAGTTAAACATCCACACACCACGGAGCCGCTGATCAGGTAACACTTAGGGCTGTGAGGACAGCCTTCTCTCTCTGCTTGTCAGATTCAGAATGTGGAAGCTGGGAAACAATTGTGCAGCACAGCAGTGAGACATGGGGGGAGGAGTGATTGCAGAGCTCACCCTCATTAGGACCAACAGCATCGTTTCCTCAACACTCTGCAGACAGCCTTCCCTTAGGAGGTTTCAGACCAGCAGCCCCTGTCTGCAACTGTTGCCTCAAGATCTGCTTCCAGACACCCGGAGCAGTTTCCATTTGTGCCCTAAGTTTTGGGGAGTAAGCCTGTAGTGTGGTAAGAAAATAATTTTCAAGCCTGTTTGTGTACGTGTGTGTGTGTGTGTGTGTATATGTACAGATAGAGATATGGATTAGTAGGGTACTGATGTGACTTTTCGGTTTTACATGTCTGAAGCCTGTTGAAGAAGTAAACTATAATATACCTAATATATAATATGTGAACTATATATACCTTTCTCTTTTCTCATAGGTTTTTGAAGATTACAAAAATTGAGAATATATACTTGAGTTTCTTTTCCCTTGTTCTAAAAAGTCAGTTGAAAGATATCCAGAAAGGGGTGGAGGAAAGAGTGGATTGTCTTGAGTTTGAGCAAACAGTCTTTGAAACTAGTTCTTCTGGAGTAGGTAGCTGCATCTCCTTGGTAACTCCTGGGTTGTGTGCCACTGTTTTAGGTATGATGTTTTTCTTTGCTTTCGTATGTGTTGAGTTTGATGGGGGTGAACTGGTCTTGTATTTGGTGATTTTAGCTAAAGGAAGAGTTCCTTGGAACCAGGCAGACTAGGCTGACATTGTAGTTTTACTGTTTACTGGCCTTATGGCACTGGACAAATCACTTGATTCGTTCTGCCTCAGTTTCCTCATCAGTACAGTGAGATTTCTTGTGAGGGTTAGAGTTAAAGTACGCAAATTCCCAGCACTGGGCCGGTCATATGTGCAGGTCAGGACCTCAGTAAGTGGTGGGATCCGAAGCTTGTCAGCGTGAAGCTGGAGTGGAGGTCGTTGTAACTTAGGACAAGACTTAGAGCTTTGTATTTCTTGGTTTGTGTTGATTTAGGATGAAAAACTGCAAATATTTGACTTGGAGCTGGACTGCGACTTGAAGGTTCAACATGATTATTAGAAAGTTGATTTGTTAGTATCAAACTTGGTAGAGACAGTAAAACCTAGCTCTAAATTCTGCAACATTACCTCACAGGCTGTGCTTGTTTTAAAGTCTGTTCAGACTTATGTGGTAAAAAGGGTGTTTTAGGACATTAACATACTTCAGTGAGTTCTGTGCAGAATCGAATCACATGCAAAGCCTTGTGTAAATTCTCTGGTTAGTGCAAGCCATGAAGTGCTTGGTACAGTCAGCGGAGACACCAGTGCTTATTTTATTAATCTGCTTATTTATATGGCAGT